TTTTTTTTTTTCTTCTTTACACCTATGCTTTCATGTCATGTCATCATATGTCTGGTGACAATTTTTCATACAAATCAAATCTTCAATGGTAGACAACAGCTCATAAATAAGGTATTGTCACATGCACCCATATTACCTCAAGCCCAGCCTGGTTTATGAATAGTGATATATCTTTTATTTTGCCATTATAAGAAAAAACTTTGAATAATAATTTATTCATAAATATTAGAATATTCACTTGTGATATGTCTCACATCATTTATATAGGAAAAATAGATCTAATTTATAAGTCTAATGGCTACTCATTTTTCTACCAATTGTTTTGGGATAGAATCTCACTTGGGGTTCATATGGGTTTTTTCTGCTTATGGTGCGCTTCATGTGCATGAGACGACACCGTTTTGCCCCCGTTTCTTGGTAAGTTTGGTTATCAGTGCGGTTTGGGTTTTGAAAAACTGTAAGTATTTCGGTGCGATTCGATTAAAACCGAACCGCACCGAATATCATAAAATGTCACTTTTTTATTTTTTATTTTTAATAAAATATCACCTTAATTTTTATAATTTTACTTACATAACATTAATTGGTGGTTATATTTTTTAATTTCGGTTAACCGAAAAATCGAACCGCACCAAACCGAAAATTTTCGGTTCGATGCGGTTTTTGACCGAACCGTACCGATGCTCACCCCTAATGGTATCAGAGCCGGTTCTATTGGGTCTGTGTAATGACTTACCCATTTTCCCTGCCCATTTTTAGTAGGACAAACTTGGGCACTCGGCTCCGTATATAAAATGGAACTCCACTTGAACTTCATTTGAGTTTCTATGTCTTGGTACACGATTACCCCCGTTTCTTACAATAAATATGAAATATCAACCTTTTATTTATTTATTTATATAGGATGTGAAAATTGCTTGCTTATAATTTTGAAAATAAATTAACTTTAATATTATCCTCACATCCATTTATTGTAGGAGCTCTGACTAAATTAGTGGTGTCATATTTTAACAAATAAATTAATATGAGTTTGATAATCATTGAGGCTTGAATATTATTTATCCACATATTTGAAGGACGGTTTTACCAAAGGGCAGGTGTCCCAATCATGACATGAGCCAGCATTGAATTTTAAGGCTTCACTTAATTAATAAATAATTATGTATTATGACAATTTTCGATAATTAAGTTCGAGCTGAAATTTAGAAAGCGAGCCGATAATAGCTCCAACTTCAGCTCATTTATTAACAACAATGAATCAAATTTCTGAGCTTTTACGAACTGAACTCAAGTAATAGTTTAAAATTGCATTTTAAAACTCTTACTTCTCAGGCCTAAAGAGCATTCACGGGTCGAGTATGTTATGTGAACTCGCATCGAGCTTAGTTTGTTTATCACAACTGAACTCGAGTCATAACAAATCAAACCGAGCTTGCAAGCCATTCAACTCGTTTAACAGCTCTGAGTTCTATCGAGCAGAAAAATCGAAAGTTCACAAATTTGAGCAAGAACCAAAAGTTAAAAGGTCTCATGGCACCCAAACATAAACCAGAGCTAATCATGTGTAATTGTTCAGTTTCGTCGAGTGCTTTAAATAAAATCTATCACATTTGAATACCGTTAATCTAACATCTAGTCACTCATTCAAGAACCATAACTCACATAATTGATACTGATGGATGAAAAGATTAAGACAGCAGATATAGCAGGAACCAAGTGTTCGAGAGTCTCAGTCAGAGTCGAGACACGATGTGATGAGATGAACGAAGTTCCTAAGCATAAGGTCTTAAACAATCCACTTACTATTTTATAGCATGCTCGTTGAGAATCACTTCAAGGATATTGTCATGTGTCACTCTTACTTCCAAACAGCTTCATAATATAAGGAAGTACCACTCGAGATCCCACATTACCTTCTCTGAACGATGTCCACTTTCTGACGCGAGCTGCCAACTTTCTTTTTTTCTCCTCTCTCTGACCAAAGCATGTTTTCTTTAGCAGCTTTAAGCTCATATAATATGGAACTGTTATGATTGATGATCTTTTAAGGTCTTCGGGAAAATCACCATCTCCTTGAGGTTTGGCTGCTTAACCGACATTCCAGAATAGTCAGACCTTCATCTTATGATGAGTTTTACATATCACTTGAAAAAGAACACAAAAAGTTGTCTCTCTTTTCAGGTCTTCCGGAAAATTACCATCTCCCTGATGTTTGGCTTCTTAACCAACTTCTACTATAGTCCGACACTCGCCTTATGATGTGTTTTATCACTTGAAAAAGAATAAATAAATGTCCTCTTTCTCAAAACATTGTCCAACTACATCCTCGAAATCTTACTACTTCCGGCAAACTTCTTAACTCTTTTTTCTATCATCTTTTCCCTCACACGATTAACACCGTCCCAGTTGCCCGACGCCGCATGTATACTGGAAAGCAACACATAAGGAGACGAATTCTGCGGATCCAACTCAATTAGCTTTTCAGCTGCGTGTCTCCCTCTTACATCATCCCCATGCAATCTGCACGAGCTAAGGTACGTGGCCCATATCATCGAATCAGGCTGAAAGCCCATATTGTTAATAAACCTCTCCGCCTCCCCAAGAAATCCCCAGCGCCCAAAGAGATCGACCATGCATGCACAGTGGTCCACTCGTGGCTGAATCCCATAACGAGCAATCATTTCCTCGTAAAATACTCGACCTTCGGATACTTTTCCAGCATGACTGCATGCAGTCAGAACACCAAGAAAAGTGACCTCATCAGGCTTCACTTCCGAACGCCTCATCTCATCAAAGATTTCTAGAGCTCTCTCGGCATAGCCGTTTTTGGCGTACCCAACAATCATCGAGTTCCAAGAAATAACGTCTTTCCGGCTAATCATCTCCCTAAAGACTTGTGATGAGCTTTCCATATCACCACATTTGGCATACATATCAAGAAGGGCGCTTCCGGTCAACTCGTCTTTGTCGTAACCAATACGGAACACCAAAGAGTGGATTTTACTACCGTCTTGCAAAGATGCTAAACTCGAGCACGCTCTAAGGATGCTGGCGAACGTGGCTTGGTCCGGAAGGGCATTGTGGGCACGCATTTCTTGGTACCAAAGTAAAGCCTCTTCACCACAGTCATTTTGAGCATTTCCTGATATCAAGACAGTCCATAGTACGGTGCTTTTCGGATGAGGGAGCTCCGAAAATAGATTAATTGCATCGTTATTTCTTTGAGCGCTCATGTACATTCCCAAGAGAGAGACTGCTAAAAACTCGTCACCATAGGGAAGGCCAAGTTTCACAATAGAACAGTGTATCTGCCTTCCAAAATTTAGATTGGGATCACCAGAACACGCCTCCAGAAGGGTGGCAAAAGTGACTTCCGAAGGTTTCAGCCCGTAACAACTCATATTCTTAAATATATTTACTGCCACATGTAGACTCAACTGAGCATGACCAGAAATCAAAGCATTCATCCCAACTACACTTTTTTCAGGCAAGTGAGAGAAAACCAAAGTTGCATTTTCAACCAGTCCGCACTTGCAGTACATGTCAATGAGTGAGCTTCCAGCATAACGGCCATTCTCAAGGCCGTATTTGACCAGAAAACAGTGCACTTGCCTACCTTTACAAAGATCTTGCAAATTTGCTGTAGCACCGAGTATGCTGGCTAAGGACACCTCATCAGGTGCAATATTACCCTCGATCATCATTCTGCGGAACATTAAGAAAGCTTTTTTTTCGTCATCTTCCTGCACGTAACCAACAATGATAGCATTCCAAGACACATTATCCCGATTTTTTATTCGCTCGAATAGTTTCCTTGCGTTGAATAAAGCCCCACATTTGGCATACATGTCCACTAATGAATTTTGCACAAACAAGTTTGCACCAATCTCATTCTTGATTATAATTGTGTGTACCTGTCGGCCGATATCAATATTCTCTAAGCAAGCACAAGCACTGAGTACACTGGTATAAGTATATTCGTCAGGTTGAAATCCCATGACCTTCATATTCACAAATAACTCCAAAACCTCACGAGCATGCCCATTCTGAGAGTAACCTCCGAGCAATGCATTCCACAAAACATCATTTTGCTCTTCTAATCCATCAAAGACTGCTTTTGCAGCCTCCATCCTCTGACATTTGGCATACATGTTCAGTAAAGAGCTCCCAGCATACACATTTGTGTCGAGCCCTTTCTTAATGGCCCAAGAATGGACCTGCAGACCGTACTTATGATTGGCCACAGCTGCAATCGCACAAAACACACTTCCTAGTGTGGAACGTGTTGGTTCAATCCCGGACTTGACCATATTCTTGAAAAAATCAATAGCTTTTTCTTCAAAGCCACCTTTCACGTGCCCTGAAATCATTACGTTCCATGCAATACTACTCGGTTCAGGCATTTGGGAAAACAGGCGGCAAGCATCCTCAAGCCTGCCTTGCCCTACGCAAGCGCTTAATATGGTTACAGATAATACATTGTCCGGAATATGTCCCAACTCCTGCATCTGCTCGAATATCTCGATCGCCTTTGTGGTCAAACCAGCATGAGAGAAGCCAGAAATCATTGCAGTCCAAGAAACTCTATCTGGGTCCACTGCTCCATCAAATATTCTCGTAGCAAACTCCAGACAACCACATTTCACATACATATCAATCAATGCACCCTGGCAATAATTACCAGCTTCAAGGCCCATTTTCATAGCAACACAATGCAATTGCTCCCCAAGCTCTAAATTCATCAGCTTAGCACAAGCTGACAAAACCATCGCAAAACTGAACTGATCGCCTACCACCCCAGAACACCGCATAGAGAGAAAATAATCCACAACATCTTTAAATGACCCTTTACGTGAATTCATATTCATAATTGAATTCCAAGCCGATTCATCCCTTACCTGGAGGTGTGAGAATACTATTCCCGCGTAACGCACGTTCCCGCATTTTGCATACAAATCTAATATGGAGTTCTCCAGGTTGCCATCCGCTGAAAGGCCAAGTCTTAAGCTCTGGGAGTGGACTGTTTTGGCTGTTTTTAGGGAAAGCTTGAGTCTTTCGGGCATTTTGTCGATCACTTGGCGGGACTGAATTATCTTGCATTCTCGCGAGCATATATCACGTAGATGGCTGTGAAAGTCGTGTTCCTGCAATGGGGATTGGGTCTTTCGATCTTCCAGAATCGGGATTGATGAGTATTTCGATTGGTGGATGAGAACGGAAGAGTTTATTCTGCGTCGTATGGGTTTGAAACGAACTCTTGGTAGCATTGGCGCGAAAGTGAGTTGAGACTGTTAGCGTCATAAGTTTGAAGATTGTGACGTGTAAGTTGTATCTACGAGGAGCACGATTTTATCAAATTTGTGTTGTCATTACTATTTTCTGCAGTTTTAGTTTTATAGTATAGGAAAAGGCTACGGTGCTTGTAATTGAATTATCATGTAATCATCAGAGATAATTGATCTAACGGTTACAAACCCCGATCAAATGGTTCCGTAACGAGATCGTAGCATCTCTCGTTATTATATTACAAAGCAACCGCAGAAGAACAAAAAAAAATGTTCTTCTTGTGCGAATCTTGTTACCGTATTCGATTTCAATATACACTAAATCAGAATTAAACTAAATTATAAATTTGGTTGTTACCATATTCTTTTTTTTTTTTTTTTAAATATCGTGTTTTTGTATTATTTATTTTACTTAATTATAAATTCAATATTGAATCAAAATATAACTAAACTTCTAATTTCGTCTTTTTTGTTTTCAAATCGTGAGTGCTTTGTGGCGTGGTGTGAGTTTTGACGTACATGCAATAACTATAGCAAGTTCAAGAAATTTATTGTATCTGGATTTTGAAAAATAAAAAATAAAAATGCCAGTCTTTTGTCACACTAATGAAGCTTAGACATGGCCTGGTGGCCACGGACCAACCCGACCTGGTCTCAGCTCGGCCCGCAACCAGGAAGTTTCCGGTTCCGAGAACCGGCATCGTGACTTTACGTGCCGTTTTCGGGTCTTTTTTTTTTTGTCCCGGCGATCTGGGACCGGGCCGGGACAGGGCCGGTTCGACGGACCCCGGCCCTTGGTTTTTGGCGGGCTGGTCAAGGGTCATCCATGGGAGGCCTGCCGGCCTGGGCCACGCCATGTCTAATGAAGCTATATTACATGAAAAATATGAAATTGGAAAGCCCAATCCTCTTCATTTCTTGTGATTTTGACGCCAATTTGTCAACTCAAACTCTCAAAGCCTCTAGAGCTCTCATTAGTTGCAAGGCCTAATTGCAGGATTCTCTATTTCTATTGTTTCTTGCTGCAGATATTTCATATTCCACATGAACAAAAAGGATTGACAAATCACATAATCATGTCCTCATCACACAAACAGTAACTCTTGTTTTCCTACTCACTGTTGATTTCTCAAACCAGCCAAGCAAAATTGGCCATCCTTCATTTCCTGTGGCCTCACCACAGGCATATTATAAGGAAAATATTGCCGCGATAACATTTGATTCCCCTGCCTAAAATTCACATTATTAATGCCGTTCAACCTCGGGCTCGCATCGTGGACCTTATCCGCCAACGGGATATCACAGTAAGTCAAGCTCGAAACATTGGACCCTTTGTCCGACCCAAGATGACCAAGTGGGACGGGGAAAGGAATGCCAGGCGCTCGGGGGTAGTTTTGTCCAATCAAACCCACGCTTCCGCTTGAATTCGAAATGCTGGAAAAGCTCCTGAGCTGTTGTTCTACCGGACGAAATCCTGCATATTGCCGATAAAATTTGTGATCGCCCAAAGGCAAATGGGTTCTCGGATTTTGAAGCTGCGGTTTTGGGATGACAGCTGGCGGCACAGTCAATCCATTGTCACCTTTGCTTAGCCCATCATTTTTGGTCAGTTGTAAAACTTCCTCGTTTTTCTCCACGGGCTCGGATGATGGTTTTGTCGATTTACGTTCATCAGACCCCACTTTGCCTTTCGTGTTTCTAATAACCGTACAATTTTTGGGTTTCACTTGATTCTTCTGGGAACATCTCGCAGTCTTCTTCCTAACCGGCTTTTTTGACACAATGGCTGCCAGCTTTTTCATCTCGTCCTTCAACTGCGTAACCATATTCTCCCGGTCGCCCGTGAGTTCTTGCATTAAAGAATCGGCAAAGGCCTTGAGGTCTTCAAACATGGCCACATGCTCGTCCTCGAGATTTTTGTTCCGCTTATTTTTCCTGATTGGCCCGCTGTTTGATTTCTTTAGAACGGCATTATTCTTGCCTTTCACCTTCTTGCTTGATTTGGTTTTCTTTTCGTCGGTGACTAAACTCGGTCTGTCACTTGCTTCATCATTTTCGAGCAAAACGAGGCCAGCAACTATATTGGACCGCTTCACAGCCTGGGGCCCACTAGCATTTGGTTGGCTGTCATCACTCGAGGTGTCGGCATCGACCTCTTTCCGCCTGAACTCCCACCGCTGGTCGAATTTCTCATTATTGTTCATTTCTGAAACGAGAATCGGAAAATCGTACTCGATTTCTCTGGATATACTTCACAAACTTGCTAGCCGAGTCCCGACTCGAATTCCTACCGTCTGCCTCCAATATAGTATGTTAGAAAACACGAGAGTTCAAGAGCCCTATCATATGAAAATTGCTCAAGGAGGACTTGACAACTAAAGAATTTTGAGAGACTATATCAGACAGCAAGAAAAACCAGAGGATTGTTAATTTTGATTCACTAGCAGTCACCAAGCAATGTTCACCTTGTCAATTTGTGTCTCCTTTTTTATCTTTCCCAGTTGACATGTAAACGACCCGAGCTGAAGTTGAACTTCTGATAACCGAGCTCGGGTCATTAACTAAATGAATCGATAAATGAGTTCAAGCTCAAGCCTAAGACGCAAAAATAAAACCATATTCTCGATCCTTGACAAGCCTTAACGAGCCGAGATGAGCTCGCGAGCGGTTCGTTTCACATGACAACTCTATTCCCACAACATGTTTTCATTAGAACATGTAGATGAAAATGAAACAACTATAACAACACGATATACAATGCATGAAAGAACTCAGAGATGTCAAACCACCCAAAAATCCCACCTTTATCAACCCCCTCTCAAAACATATGATTGCCAATATAATTACTCAGAAAACCAAAACAAGCGTTCTTAAAAAACTGTTATGCTGGCTCTAATCAAAAGAAACACATAGGTAATTAAAAGGGGCCTCGAGCACCTACATCGGACCAAACATGGACTTTTCCGAACGATGTCAAACTTTGGGTCCTTAAACTCCATTGAAATTCATCCAAGAATATCACACATTTTTACCCAAAAAAATAAAAATAAAATAAAAACAGTAAAATGCGAGCAAAAAGAACACATACCATGACACAATTCGCATATGAAATGGGTTTTTTTTTTTTTTTTTTTT